ACAGATTGGAACCTTACTGTGTGGAAGAAGTGGCTCGTAATTGGGGATTCCAACCTTTCACGCATTCCGGGCCATACGCTCTCGGATTTGCAGGTGGAGAGTTATCCAGGAGCCAATTTCAGACACGCAGAGTCCATTCTATCTAAAGCGTCCACGTTGGTTTGTGTGGAGAAGGTGGTTTTGTCCTTTGGTCTCAACAGTCGAGGACAAAAGGCAAAAGAGACAGCAATAAAACAAATGCAGGCAGCATTAAGGATGGCTAAAAAGAAATTTCCTTACGCTGAGTTATGGATCCCCCTCATTAACTTTTCTCATACTCTAACGGCTCCAGAGAAGCTTTGTCTCCAAAAGATCAACGCTCACATACAGAAAAACATGCCATACATTCCGCTGTTGTCGGAAAGCGAATTCGAGACAGAGAGTGACTCAGTGCATTGGTCCAGGGCAACAGCCAGATCTATGCTACGACACTGGTGCAACTATTTAAACTCAAGGACCCCTTAAGTCCACAAGTGGAAGGGGAAAAGAGTAGGGTGCCGCTGACATCACAAAATGTGGTAAATCTGTACGGAGCGTTTAAACCAACAGAGGCCCAACTGAATCTCCTGAACAGAGGGTTAACCTTTGTACCAACCCTGGATGTACATAAAAATCAACAAATACAATTGGAACTGGACCTACAAAACTATCACCGAAAGCTTAAATTAGGAATTTTCTTTAAAAACACAGCACAAAGTAGGCCAACGCCATTCACATTTCCATCTAACTGGACTCCTCCTATGTCTGATTTGCCTAAAGAATTACACTCATTGATTGACAAAGATTACGATAATTTCAAACATGATTATAAGTGGCATAAAGAAGACGCAAACTTATCACAGGAGGAAGTAACAGCATTAAGAGAACTTATGCATAACAAGCAGATAGTCATCAAGCCCGCTGACAAGGGCAGCGCTATTGTCATCCTAAGCAGGGAACAGTACATCACCGAGGTCCAACGCCAATTGCGGGATAGTGTATATTACAAAAAATTAAAAGACCCCATCTTTCCAGAATCAATTCCGTTGGTACACGAAATTTTGAATAGGTTATACAAGAAAAAATACATTAATGCAAAACAGAAGCGTTATTTAAAAGGGGAAGGCCCTCCCAGAGAAAGGAGATTCTACATTCTGCCCAAAATCCACAAACCTCCAGAAAAATGGAGTGTTCCATACCAAGTACCTCCAGGACGACCAATAGTTTCAGACTGCAGTAGTGAAACATATCACACTGCAGAGTTTATAACTCATTTTTTAACTCCCTTGTCCACAAAGCATCCGGCATATGTAAAAGACACATATCATTTCATTGAAATTGTAAAAGGACTAAAAATTCCACCTAATTCGTTGTTGTTTACTATGGATGTAGAAAGTCTATATACAAATATTGATATACCTGCAGGATTGCAGGCGGTCCAAAAGGCATTCAACAAATATCCGGATGATTTGAGGCCTGACAGGGAGTTACTGCAGCTACTGGAAATAAATCTAACTAAAAATGATTTTGAGTTCAATGGCGAATACTTCTTACAGATCAAAGGAACCGCAATGGGAAAGAGATTTGCGCCAGCATACGCCAATATATTTATGGCGAACTGGGAAGAAGAAGTACTAGCATTATGTAGCATTAAGCCATTCCACTACTTGAGGTACTTGGATGATGTGTGGGGAGTATGGACCAATTCCATAGAAGAGTTTGAAAAGTTTGTTGACACCTTAAATAACCATGACCCATCCATTAAAATAAAACACGTAGTTGACAAAAGGACTATCGACTTTCTTGACACAACTGTTTACATAGGACCCTCGTACGAACTGACCCAAACACTGGACATTAAAGTTTATTTTAAGACCACTGACACACACGCCTTATTATTCAAAAACAGCTTTCATCCACGACATACATTTAAAGGCATTGTGAAGTCACAGTTGCTAAGGTTTTACAGAATCTGCACGCAGGAAGAGGAATTCCGTGTAGCAGTGAACACCCTTTTTAAGGCCCTTCGGGACAGGGGATATTCTAGGAGCTTCCTGAGATATTGTCTTCGTACTTTTCAAACTCAAAAACCGAGAGACACTAAAGACATGATTCCACTGGTCACAAACTTTTCAACAATAAGTACAGGTTTAAATAGAACATTCAAAAACAACTACAAAACCTTCATGGAGGACACAGGCCTACTGCAGAATCACAAAATCATTTCCGCATATCGCAGGAATAAAAGTCTTATGGATCTGCTAGTACGTGCTCAATTAAAACCTATTACACAGACTAGAGCACGGCCTGCTCCACCGTACTTCTCACAGCTTAAATACATACGTTGTAAATCAAATAGGATGATTTTTGAGATCCCACAGGGCTTTAGCCCAATAACTAGCAATTGTGTGTACGTCATCTATTGTTCAATATGTAAAATACAGTATGTTGGAGAGACAAGGAACTCGATCAGAACCAGAATGTGGCAGCATAAGTATAACATATTGAATAAAAAGGAAACAGGAACACCACTGGTACGTCACTTCCTGCTGCACGGCTGGCCAGCGGCACGAGTGTCAGGACTGCAGCACAATGCATCATGGACAAATATGGACAGAAGGAAAGAGGAAAGAAGATGGATTCATTCTTTAAACACTATAGAACCATCTGGCTTGAATATAAAATATAACTAGAGGTTAAATTAAGTATTTACAACTTTAAGTGAGGGTTGGAGGCCCAGGAATGGCGTCCTTTTGTAGTTTTCCTCTCTTTTTCCTGTTTCTCTCCCCTCCATGTTTGATCCTAATGTCTGTTTTTCTCCCTTGTCTCTGTGTCTGCCATGTTTGTGTTTATTCGTGGTGTGTATAGTCAACCCTAACCTCTCCTGTGCCTTTCTCTAACCCTAACCTCTCCTGTGCCTTTCTCTAACCCTAACCTTCCCCCCCTTGCCTAAACCTAAGACTCTCACCCCTAAGCTGGCCTGTGACCTTTGACCGCTCACAATAAAAATTAAAGGCAGAGCCTCTGGCCCCTAAGGACAGGCCTGCTTAGTATAGTTGTCAGTCTGGACACAAAACACAAATTATAAATAGTTTTTTTAGTCATTTAGTATTAAAATTAGTTTAAAAAGACTTTACACTGATAAATAGTTATAAATATTAATCATATAAACTTAATAAATACATAGACAAAATCTTAGGTTAAATTACACTCATAATAGTTTAAAATAGGTCCAGCCCATATTTAGAATAAATAGACAACTTAATTCATGATTTGACAGTAAAATACTTAATAAATAACACTTATCTTCAAAATTAATAATTTATATTTAACCCCTAACATAGACAAACAATTCATAAAGTAAAATACTAATTAGATTTATTAAAAAGCAAAAACAAATCTGTCCAACTAACACACAATCAAAAAGTGCTTTTATTTTGGTAACACGAACTTCCAATCAGCAGTTCGGAGGAGGGTATAAAAGGAGGAAAGGAGACACACAGGCTCACTCCTGCTCTGACTACGGTACAGACAACAGCTCTGCCAGTCACATGCAAAAGATACCTCTCACTCTAAGAACTTTCAAATTTTACAAAGTGTGCCTTCGCCTGAAGAAGACCGCAAAGGTCGAAACGTTGCGCACAGGCACACACTAATTAGGAAAATCCTTTAAATATTAAAATTTACTTTTAGGCTTAAGACACTTTTTGTCTCTCTTTAAGTTTCACTTTTGGTTTTGGATTTTGATTTTTTTTTGTTGAGCTTATTATATAAATACATTAGTTTAGCAATAAATATATACAAACTATAATTAATTAAATACACCGCTCGTCAAGAGCCCATCAGAGGGCCACAGTGTGGTGTATAAGGAGGATTATTATTTAAATACACCGCTTAACTGTCCATCAGAAAATTGGATCACTCATAGAGGATCATGGGATACAATAATGATGAAGACTGGCATACAGTCAGACATGGCAGACGTCAGGGCCGCTCTCGGGAGCAAAGACAGTACACAAACAATACGGCCTACGCAGGAAAGAGAGCGTACTGGGTGATGGACCGCGCATCTCCAAACCCTCGTTACAGGAGGGGGCGGACTCAGTCCCAATATCCTAACCCTAACCCTAACCCTAACCCTAACCCTAACCCCTAACCCTAACTTATTTTGCCTCACGAACCTGTTAAGTGTGCCTGCGCCTGAAGAAGACCCACGCGGTCGAAACGTTGCACACAGGCACACGCTAATTAGAGAATCCTTTTACAAAATTTAAAAAGTTTTTTCATTTTATTTTATTTTTAGAATTTTTTTTCTTCTTTCTTTCTTCTCTCCTCATCTGCTTTCTTAGGAAAGCTTTTCTCTCTTCTTTCTCTCTTTTTTCATTTAAATAAATTAGATTAAATAGTCCATTAAATAAATATTAAAATCATCATTATACATATCTCACTTATAATTATTTAAATACACCGCCTAATTGACCCATCAAACCTTGGGAGTGGTGTATTAAAAGAAGTGTTGACTTTAAATTGATCAAAATTAGACAAATCAGTATAAAAAATAAAAAAATAAAAATAACATGTTTTCTCAGAGTGATGGAGACTGGCAATTGGTCAGAAGAGGAAGACGACAGGGGCGCTCCCATGAGCAAACAAACAAACCATACTATGGGAATCACCCAGGAGCGAGAGCGGACTGGGGGACGGACCGTGCACCCCCTCACCCTCGTCCTGCGAGGGGGGAGGACTCAGTTCCATAACCTAACCCACCAAACACCTAACCCTAAAAAATCAAGGAAAATTTTCAACAAAAAATCATTGATCCAGGACTCCTAAATAACCACAGGTTCATAGCAGCCTATAGGAAAAACAAAAACCTCCAGGACTATCTGGTGACAGCCAAAATTAAGCCCCTATCGACCTCAAAACCCAGAGGCTATGGCCAATTTTTCAAACATGCCACCTGGATCCACAGCCATGTCAATAAAACAGTCCATAAGACTATGGCATGTGGAAATCCACACTCCAAAAATTGCGTGTATCTTATTTCATGTCTCATGTGCGGCCTACAGTATGTGGGCGAGACCAGAAACACGCTCTTACAGCGGTTCACCCAACACCGCTACAACATCCAGAGGCGGAGGGAAACCCACACGCCTCTGGTCAGCCATTTTCTGGCCCATGGATGGTCGTCTGTCCGGGCCACGATCATCCAGATGGACCCCAGCTGGAACGCCACACAGAGAACCCGAGCTGAAAGGACATGGATAAGAAAATTAGAAACATTACACCCCAAAGGCCTCAACCTCAAATAAGAGCTTTCCTGATCTGGAGCAGGATGGCCCGTGCATGGAGCCTCGACACCGCTGCGCGGTGCCGAGACTCATCCACTTTCTCTATCCTAACCGGCCAGCGCCTCCTGCTCTTTGGAGAGGGTCTGCCACCCACCATGAGTTGACCTTTGAACCATTAATTGGAGATGTACTATTTTAATTTGACAAGTTTTCACTGTTCTATTTGTCCATAATCTTTAACGAGCAAGGGAGCAACGTAGCACATGAGGAGGCAGCTGAGGCTCCTACCTCTTATTGACCCCTGACCCTGACCTTAACCCCTAACCCTAACCACTACCTGAACTGAATCCCTAACCCTAACCACCCCCCAGGACACCTAACCTTAACCCCAAATACTCCTAAACCCCTACCAGGCTAAACTAAGCCACACCTAACCCCTGCCATATCAATTGGATTTAAAGAGAGAAAGGAGGAAAAAAGGAGACATGACAAAAATAAATGGACAGGTAAATTGGAAACTGAGGGATAACACAAAAAGGGAAATGATGGTTAATAACATAATAATTCCTACCTGAAAAAACACAATACTTACCTGAAAAGGAAAAAACAACTACCTAATACTCACCTTATACCTACCCGGAAAAAATATAATACTTACCTGGAAAAAGAGAAAAAAACTATCTAAAAATCACCTGCAAATCCTCCATAGACACTCCCTGGGTTTGCAAGGGGCCCACACACTCATCTGAAAAGGAAAAAAAGGACAAACAAATTTCAAGGGTCTTTATTTATTTATTTATTTATGTATTACATGGTAATAACCCATTTATAGGGGCATAATTAGTGGAATATTGGTAATATTAATTTTCTAAAGGGACTTTTCACGGGGAGGGGGACAACAGGGGATTTGACAGTTGGAATAAACACGTGACGACTTGCAGCTGGCAACCCCTGGCCCCCCACTCACCCCCCCTCTTGTCTATAAATACCCAGCCTGCCCACTCCTCAGTCCCACTTGCTTCTCACAGCTCGAGCACACTACATGGAAGAATAGAGACAGAGAACACTCACTCTACAACACTTTTACAACCACAGAACAAGCTAACCTGAAGAAGGTCTATCTTTAGACCGAAACGTCGTTTAAAGCTTGTTCAAATCCTCAATTTAAATATTCTCATTTTTTTTATTTTTCATTTTTTTTTTCCTACCCCTTTTTATTTTCCCACGGCCCAGAATGCGTGGTGAGAACAGGGAAGAGGACTGGACGGTGGTTTCCTACCGGCGTGACCGCTACAGGCAGCCCCGGGGGGAAAGGCCCAGACCCCGCTCAGCCCAGTACCGCTCCCGCCAACGCTACCAGGCCACAGGGCAGCGTCCCAGCTATGCCTCTGTTGTTAGAGGACATGGACGGAGGGACGACTACCCACAACGCTACCGTTCCACGGAGCATGGCCATAGGCCACAATTTTTTGAAAATCCGGGAAGCCGCAGGGCCCCGTACAACCAACCTGCAAGACACAACACAACATGGAACACAGGGAGAAACACATGGAACACAGGGAGAAACACATGGAATTCAGGGAGAAACACAGGGAGAAATACAGGAAACACAGGGAGAAACACATGGAACACAGGGAGAAATACAGGAAACACAGGGAGAAACACATGGAACACAGGGAGAAATACAGGATACACAGGGAGAAACACATGGAACACAGGGAGAAACACAGATAACACAGGGAGAAATACAGGGGAAACAGGGAGAAACACAGGCAACACAGGGAGGAATACAAGCAACACACATGGGGAAAAGAGGGAGAGAAACAGGAATGGGAACAGACAACAGTCTGATGACCCTGATTTTGGAATTAAGGCCAGGATAATGAAAAAAATCATTACATTGGCCCACCACCTGAAAAATGTTTCGACCGATAAGCCCCCCCCAGCAATCCATAAATTAACAACTAATTTGGCCACCACAATTAAACCGGCCAGCCCCAGTGAGGGGGCCCGTCTCCTCATTGAGAGCAATGCCAAAAACTGGGAATATACAACAATCCTTATTCTCAGGGATCACTACATTGACTCCATTGATAAGGAGTTTAACACCTTATCTGCATTGCCCAAACGGGATTGGCCTGCCCCCTTTCAAGTGGCCTCCACCTGGGCAAAAAGACACCTGGGTAGGAGACTCCAGGCTGAGACCCTGGAGCAGGTGGAGGCCCTCATGGTCGTGCAGCTCGACCCAGACACGGATGGGGGAAAGCCTGACTGCCCGCCACCACCCCCTGCCACAGCTCCTCCACCTGTCTTCGATAAACAAAAAACACAAACACAACACAGTGTTCAGGCACAAATCCACATCAACAGGGAATTGGTGGCACTGGAAACACGGGCCCACTCACCAGTAACACCAGCCCCCCTCCCCCCCCTCCTCCTCCTCCTCCTCCTCCTCCAGCGGCCTCCCTGGACCTCCTCGGCTTCTTTCAGCAGCAGCCGAGGCCCCAGAGAGTCCGGAGGTTAGCGCCTGCGGCACACTTACCTGCAAAGGGAGAGGGAAAAAAATGTTAACTTACCTGAAAATCCTCCTCCGGCGACGACGGCTGCCCCCGCGGTGGTTGCTGCTCCTGTGCAGCTGGCCGCTCCGGCAACTCCTCCCTTGCAGCTGCCGGAGGCTGCTCCGGTGTCGGAGGCCGCTCCGATGCCGGAGGCCGCTCCGGTACAGCTTGCCGCTCCAGCGCCAGCGGCTGCTCCAGGGCAGTTGGCCGCTCCAGTGCCAGCAGCCTCTCCAGCGCTAACAGCCGCTCTGGCACCGACAGTGGCTCCTTTAAACCCGTGTGTGGTCCACAGCCCAGACTCCATCACCTGCCTCTCAGGTGACGGGGAGCTGGGAGAGCCCCATAAAGGCCCGTTTGAGGCCTCCACCGCTCAGTCCACTCCGGTTAAAGTCAGGAGCCTTAGAAGAGCAACCCAGAGCAGACTCACACTGCGGCCTAGACCGACAGCGCCGACCCCAGTGCCTATGCCCAACACCAGGAGACCTACAAAACACATTAACACACAGAATAAAATACAGGATTGGGGCCTCAGCATTGGCAAAGAGTGGGCCTTTATTGGAGACTCTAACTTGGCCAAAATGCCTCCATTTGAAAGCACCAACCTACAAATTGACAGCTACCCAGGGGCGACATTAGCACATGCTAAAACGCTAATGGATAAGGCCACCACCTCCACCAAATTAGAGAAATTGGTCCTCTCTTTTGGCATAAACAACAGAAACGCTGCATCCAAAACAATCCTGGCACAGCAGCTATTAGCCACAGTGGAGGCAGCTGAGGCTAAATTCCCTCAAGCGGCCGTTTGGGTGCCTTTAATCAATTATTCCCGTCACTTACCTCTCAAAGAGCAGGCCTGCCTGGTCCACCTGAACGCACATATCCAAAAAAACTGCCTCTTCATCCCCAGACTGCCCTCCAAATCTTTTGAAACTGGAGCAGATAACATACACTGGACAAAAGCCACCGCCAAACACATGTTTGACCACTGGACGGGGTATTTAAAATGCTCATCCCCATAAGCCTGCACTCTCAGGAGGGGTCAAAAAATGTACTGTTGTTATCACAGACATTCAAATTAACCCAGGCCCAGTTCACACTCCTGGACAGGGGCCTCTCTTTCATCCCCACTAGGGGGAGCCAGAGCAACATCATTGAGCAAAGCAGATGGGACCTGCAGCAATATCACAGGAGAATCAAACTCCATGTTTATTTTCAAAATAAAAAAGATGTGATTTTCACCCCCTTTACCCAAAAATCTGATTGGAGCCCCCCCTGTCTAATTTGCCACCAGAAATCACTGACCTCATCCAAGCGGATATTCATTATTTTGAAAACAATTTCCAGCCAATCCCAATCAGGAACAATTTGAACCAGGAGGAAATTGAAGCCCTCAAGGAACTAAAAGAAAACAAAAATATCATTATAAAACCAGCAGATAAAGGCAGTGCAGTAGTGGTGATGGACAGGGAACAATATTTATTTGAGGGCAACAGACAGCTAACAGACAAAAAGTACTATTCTGTCTTAAAGGAACCTATCTACCCTGAAACTAAAAAAATGGTGCAACCAATTATCAAATCATTATTAGATAAAAAATTCATAAACAAAAAACAATACACTTACCTGCTGGGTAATCCGATCCCCCGGCCCAGACTGTTTTACCTGCTGCCCAAGATACATAAAGAGCCCTCAAAGTGGAGTGTCCCCTTTGAAATCCCACCTGGGAGGCCGATTGTCTCTGATTGTGATAGTGAGACCTACTACACGGCCCAATTTATTGATTATTATATCAACCCACTTTCTAACAGACACTTCGGCTATCTCAAGGACACTTACCACTTTGTTAATACGGTCAAACAACTCCATATCCCCCCCGACTCCATCCTGTTCACGATGGATGTCGACAGTTTATACACCAATATAGATATTGATGAAGGCATTCAGGCCATAAAAAACATATTTACAAAATTTCCAGACAAAAAGAGACCTGATAAGGAACTATTACAACTCCTTGCAATCAACTTGAGGAGAAATGATTTTGAATTTGACAACAAATTTTATTTACAAATTAAAGGCACTGCCATGGGCAAAAAATTTGCACCGGCATATGCCAACATCTTCATGGCCGAATGGGAGACCTCCGCCCTGGCAGCCTGCAACAAAAAACCATTACATTATTATAGATATCTGGATGACATCTGGGGGGTCTGGCCCCACTCTTTGGAAGAATTTGACCAATTTGTACTCACCTTGAATAATCACAACCCGTCCATCACACTGAAGTCCACCACTAGCACCACGTCGGTCGACTTCCTGGATACCACCACCTACAAGGGGATCAATTTCCAGCATACAAACAAATTAGACATTAAAGTTTTCTTCAAAGAAACAGACACCCATGCCCTGCTTTATAAAACCAGCCACCACCCCAAACACACATACAGGGGCCTATTGAAATCACAATTACTCCGTTTCCACCGTATCTGCACCCACAAAAGCGACTTCATGGCGGCCACTAAAACGCTTTTCAGAGCTCTCGCCACCAGGGGCTATGTACGCTCCTTCCGTCGGAAGGCCCTCAGCACCTTTCTGGAAACAAAACCAGTAGACACGTCGGATGTACTCCCCTTCGTCACCACCTATTCCAAGCCAGCAATCGCTCTGTGCAGAAAAATCAAAGAAAATTTCCAACAAAAAATCATTGATCCGGGACTCCTAAATAACCACAGGTTCATAGCAGCCTATAGGAAAAACAAAAACCTCCAGGACTATCTGGTGACAGCCAAAATTAAGCCCCTATCGACCTCAAAATCCAGAGGCCATGGCCAATTTTTCAAACATGCCACCTGGATCCACAGCCATGTCAATAAAACAGTCCATAAGACCATGGCATGTGGCAATCCACACTCCAAAAATTGCGTGTATCTTATTTCATGTCTTATGTGCGGCCTACAGTATGTGGGCGAGACCAGAAACACGCTCTTACAGCGGTTCACCCAACACCGCTACAACATCCAGAGGCGGAGGGAAACCCACACGCCTCTGGTCAGCCATTTTCTGGCCCATGGATGGTCGTCTGTCCGGGCCACGATCATCCAGATGGACCCCAGCTGGAACGCCACACAGAGAACCCGAGCTGAAAGGACATGGATAAGAAAATTAGAAACATTACACCCCAAAGGCCTCAACCTCAAATAAGAGCTTTCCTGATCTGGAGCAGGATGGCCCGTGCATGGAGCCTCGACACCGCTGCGCGGTGCCGAGACTCATCCACTTTCTCTATCCTAACCGGCCAGCGCCTCCTGCTCTTTGAGAAGGTCTGCCACCCACCATGAGTTGACCTTTGAACCATTAATTGGAGATGTACTATTTTATTTTACAAGTTCTTACTGTTCTATTTGTCCATAATCTTTAACGAGCAAGGAAGCAACGGAGCACATGAGGAGGCAGCTGAGGCTCCTACCTCTTATTGACCCCTGACCCTGACCTTAACCTCTAACCCTAACCACTACCTGAACTGAATCCCTAACCCTAACCACCCCCCAGGACACCCATACTTAACCCCAAATACTCCTAAACTCCTACCAGGCTAAACTAAGCCACACCTAACCCCTGCCACATCAATTGGAGTTAAAGAGAGAAAAGGAAAAAAGGAGACATGACAAAAATAAATGGACATGTAAATTGGAAACTGAGGGATAACACAAAAAGGGAAATGATGGTTAATAACATAATAATTTCTACCTGAAAAAACACAATACTTACCTGAAAAGGAAAAAACAACTACCTAATACTCACCTTATACCTACCTGGAAAAAATATAATACTTACCTTAAAAAAGAGAAAAAACTACCTAAAAATCACCTGCAAATCCTCCATAGACACCCTCTGGGTTTGCAAGGGGCCCACACACTCAACTGAAAAGGAAAACAGGAAAAACAAATTTCAAGGGTCTTTCTTTATTCATGTATTACATGGTTATAACCCATTTCTAGGGACACTATTAGGGGAATATTGAGAATATTAATTTTCCAAAAGGACTTCTCACTAGGAGGGGGACAACAGGGGATATGGCAGTTGGTCAGAACACGTGACGACCTGCAGCTGGCCACCCCTGGCCCCCCTCTCACCCCCCCTCTTGTATATAAATACCCAGCCTGCCCACTCCTCAGTCCCACTTGCTTCTCACAGCTCGAGCACACTACATCGAAGAATAGAGACAGAGAACACTCACTCTACAACAATCTTACACCTACAGAACAAGCTAACCTGAAGAAGGTCTATTCTTTAGACCGAAACGTCGTTTAAAGCTTGTTCATATCCTCAATTTAAATATTCTCATTTTTTTATTTTTCATTTTTTATTTTTCTACCACCTTTCTTTTACTCACCAACGGCCCAGAATGCGTGGTGAGAACAGGGAAGAGGACTGGACGGTGGTTTCCTACCGGCGTGACCGCTACAGGCAGCCCCGGGGGGAAAGGCCCAGACCCCGCTCAGCCCAGTACCACTCTCGCCAACGTTACCAGGCCACAGGGCAGCGTCCCAGCTATGCCTCTGTTGTCAGAGGACATGGACGGAGGGACGACTACCCACAACGCTACCGTTCCACGGAGCATGGCCAGAGGCCACAATTTTTTGACAATCCGGGAAGCCGCAGGGCCCCGTACAACCAACCTGCAAGACACAACACAACATGGAACACAGGGAGAAACACATGGAACACAGGGAGAAACACATGGAATTCAGGGAGAAACACAGGGAGAAATACAGGAAACACAGGGAGAAACACAGGGAACACAGGGAGAAATACAGGAAACACAGGGAGAAACACATGGAACACAGGGAGAAATACAGGATACACAGGGAGAAACACATGGAACAAAGGGAGAAACACAGATAACACAGGGAGAAATACAGGGGAAACAGGGAGAAACACAGGCAACACAGGGAGGAATACAAGCAACACACGGGGTGGAAAGAGGGAGAGAAACAGAAATGGGAACAGACAACAGTCTGATGATCCTGATTTTGGCATTAAGGCCAGGATAATGAAAAAAATCATTACATTGGCCCACCACCTAAAAAATGTTTCGACCGACAAGCCCCCCCCAGCAATCCACAAATTAACAACTAATTTGGCCACCACAATTAAACCGGCCAGCCCCAGTGAGGGGGCCCGTCTCCTCATTGAGAGCAATGCCAAAAACTGGGAATATACAACAATCCTTATTCTCAGGGATCACTACATTGACTCCATTGATAAGGAGTTTAACACATTATCTGCATTGCCCAAACGTGATTGGCCTGCCCCCTTTCAAGTGGCCTCCACCTGGGCAAAGAGACACCTGGGTAGGAGACTCCAGGCTGAGACCCTGGAGCAGGTGGAGGCCCTCATGGTCGTGCAGCTCGACCCAGACACGGATGGGGGAGAGCCTGACTGCCCGCCACCACCCCCTGCCACAGCTCCTCCACCTGTCTTCGATAAACAAAAAACACAAACACAACACAGTGTTCAGGCACAAATCCACATTAACAGGGAATTGATGTCACTGGAAACACGGGCCCACTCACCAGTGACACCAGCCCCACCTCCCCCCCCCCCTCCTCCTCCTCCTCCTCCTCCTCCAGCGGCCTCCCTGGACCTCCTCGGCTTCTTCCAGCAGCAGCCGAGGCCCCAGAGAGTCCTGAGGTTAGCGCCGGCGGCACGTCTACCTGCAAAGGGAGAGGAAGAGAAAAATGATAACTTACCCGAAAATCCTCCTCCGGCGACGACGGCTGCCCCCGCGGTGGTTGCTGCTCCTGTACGGCTGGCCGCTCCGGCAACTCCTCCCTCGCAGCCTGACGCCGCTGCCGGCGACTCCTCCCTTGCAGCTGGACGCTCCGGTGCCGGAGGCTGCTCCGGTACAGCTTGCCGCTCCAGCGCCAGCGGCTGCTCCGGGGCAGTTGGCCGCTCCAGTGCCAGCAGTCTCTCCAGCGCTAACAGCCGCTCTGGCGCCGACAGTTGCTCCTTTAAACCCGTGTGTGGTCCACAGCCCAGATTCCATCACCTGCCTCTCAGGTGACGGGGAGCTGGGAGAGCCCCATAAAGGCCCGTTTGAGGCCTCCACCGCTCAGTCCACTCCGGTTAAAGTCAGGAGCCTTAGAAGAGCAACCCAGAGCAGACTCACACTGCGGCCTAGACCGACAGCGCCGACCCCAGTGCCTATGCCCAACACCAGGAGACCTACAAAACACATTAACACACAGAATAAAATACAGGATTGGGGCCTCAGCATTGGCAAAGAGTGGGCCTTTATTGGAGACTCTAACCTGGCCAAAATGCCTCCATTTGAAAGCACCAACCTACAAATTGACAGCTACCCAGGAGCGACATTAGCACATGCTAAAACGCTAATGGATAAGGCCACCACCTCCACCAAATTAGAGAAATTGGTCCTCTCTTTTGGCATAAATAACAGAAATGCTTTATCCAAAACAATCCTGACACAGCAGCTATTAGCCACAGTGGAGGCAGCTGAGGCTAAATTCCCTCAAGCGGCCGTTTGGGTGCCTTTAATCAATTATTCCCGTCACTTACCTCTCAAAGAGCAGTCCTGCCTGGTCCACCTGAACGCACATATCCAAAAAAACTGCCTCTTCATCCCCAGACTGCCCTCCAAATCTTTTGAAACTGGGGCAGATAACATACACTGGACAAAAGCCACCGCCAAACACATGTTTGACCACTGGACGGGGTATTTAAAATGCTCATCCCCATAAGCCTGCACTCTCAGGAGGGGTCAAAAAATGTACTGGTATTATCACAGACATTCAAATTAACCCAGGCCCAGTTCACACTCCTGGACAGGGGCCTCTCTTTCATCCCCACTAGGGGGAGCCAGAGCAACATTATTGAGCAGAGCAGATGGGACCTGCAGCAATATCACAGGAGAATCAAACTCCATGTTTATTTTCAAAACAAAAAAGATGTGATTTTCACCCCCTTTACCCAAAAATCTGATTGGAGCCCCCCCCTGTCTAATTTGCCACCAGAAATCACTGACCTCATCCAAGCGGATATTCATTATTTTGAAAACAATTTCCAGCCAATCCCAATCAGGAACAACTTGAACCGGGAGGAAATTGAAGCCCTCAAGGAACTAAAAGAAAACAAAAATATAATCATAAAACCAGCAGATAAAGGCAGTGCAGTAGTGGTGATGGACAGGGAACAATATTTATTTGAAGGCAACAGACAGCTAACAGACAAAAAGTACTATTCTGTCTTAAAGGAACCTATCTACCCTGAAACTAAAAAAATGGTGCAACCAATTATCAAATCATTATTAGATAAAAAATTCATAAACAAAAAACAATACACTTACCTGCTGGGTAATCCGATCCCCCGGCCCAGACTGTTTTATCTGCTCCCCAAGATTCATAAAGAGCCCTCAAAGTGGAGTGTCCCCTTTGAAATCCCACCTGGGAGGCCGATTGTCTCTGATTGTGACAGTGAGACCTACTACACGGCCCAATTTATTGATTATTATATCAATCCACTTTCTAACAGACACTTTGGCTATCTCAAGGACACCTACCACTTTGTGAATACGGTCAAACAACTCCATATCCCCCCCGACTCCATCCTGTTCACGATGGATGTCGACAGTTTATACACCAATATAGATATTGATGAAGGCATTCAGGCCATAAAAAACATATTTACAAAATTTCCAGACAAAAAGAGACCTGATAAGGAACTATTACAACTCCTTGCAATCAACTTGAGGAGAAATGATTTTGAATTTGACAATAAATTTTATTTACAAATTAAAGGCACTGCCATGGGCAAAAAATTTGCACCGGCATATGCCAACATCTTCATGGCCGAATGGGAGACCTCCGCCCTGGCAGCCTGCAACAAAAAACCATTACATTATTATAGATATCTGGATGACATCTGGGGGGTCTGGCCCCACTCTTTGGAAGAATTTGACCAATTTGTACTCACCTTGAATAATCACAACCCGTCCATCACATTGAAGTCCTCCACTAGCACCACGTCGGTCGACTTCCTGGATACCACCACCTACAAGGGGATCAATTTCCAGCATACAAACAAATTAGACATTAAAGTTTTCTTCAAAGAAACAGACACCCATGCCCTGCTTTATAAAACCAGCCACCACCCCAAACACACATACAGGGGCCTATTGAAATCACAATTACTCCGTTTCCACCGTATCTGCACCCACAAAAGCGACTTCATGGCGGCCACAAAAACGCTTTTCAGAGCTCTCGCCACCAGGGGCTATGTACGCTCCTTCCGGCGGAAGGCCCTCAGCACCTTTCTGGAAACAAAACCAGTAGACACGTCGGATGTACTCCCCTTCGTCACCACCTATTCCAAGCCAGCAATCGCTCTGTGCAGAAAAATCAAAGAAAATTTCCAACAAAAAATCATTGATCCAGGACTCCTAAATAACCACAGGTTCATAGCAGCCTATAGGAAAAACAAAAACCTCCAGGACTATCTGGTGACAGCCAAAATTAAGCCCCTATCGACCTCAAAACCCAGAGGCTATGGCCAATTTTTCAAACATGCCACCTGGATCCACAGCCATGTCAATAAAACAGTCCATAAGACCATGGCATGTGGCAATCCACACTCCAAAAATTGCGTGTATCTTATTTCATGTCTCATGTGCGGCCTACAGTATGTGGGCGAGACCAGAAACACGCTCTTACAGCGGTTCACCCAACACCGCTACAACATCCAGAGGCGGAGGGAAACCCACACGCCTCTGGTCAGCCATTTTCTGGCCCATGGATGGTCGTCTGTCCGGGCCACGATCATCCAGATGGACCCCAGCTGGAACGCCACACAGAGAACCCGAGCTGAAAGGACATGGATAAGAAAATTAGAAACATTACACCCCAAAGGCCTCAACCTCAAATAAGAGCTTTCCTGATCTGGAGCAGGATGGCCCGTGCATGGAGCCTCGACACCGCTGCGCGGTGCCGAGACTCATCCACTTTCTCTATCCTAACCCTTGCCCGAGCCTCGGACTAGCTCCTTCCATTCACCCCACCGAGTTGCTCCATGACCATCTTCTCCTAGTTAGCACTAAAATTAAATTATATTACAAATCCTAACCACGTGGCAACTGTAACGTGACTAGGAACAGTTTACTCTAGACACAGGTTTGGTGGTAACTATCCTAACCTTAAACATCGTTTATATTTCATAAACTATTTAGAATCAAAAATCACTGTCTGGAAGCAACTGTAACCAGATATATTTTTGTGACAATAAATTAAAATACAAATCTGAATCACACGGCAACTGTAGTGTGAACAGAAATAAGTTATACTAACTGGATTTGGTGGTAACTATCCAAACCATAAAAATAAAATACATCTATATTACTTAAACCATTTGAAATTAGGGATAAATGTCTGGAAGTAACTGCAACCAGATACTCTAACAATGGATAAAGAGAAACTTATTCTTATGCAATCCATTTTTTCCCCTCATATTCTGGGTAAAGCACTGCAACTGTTAACACAACCGCAGTTCCTCCCAGAACAATTCTATATGAATGAATTATGAAATAATATTCATATTTTTTAAAAAAACTAAAAACTTAAGTTAAATTACAAAAATTAATCAAATAAAAAAATTTTTTTAAAAAAACCCCTCTCCTCCTCCACCCATTCTTTCTTGTCTTGATCCTCACCCCCTCCCAACCCCGTACCCATAACCCTGAAGAGGATAAAGAAGAGGATAAAGAAGAATGAAAAACAATAGTGAGATAAAAGAAGAAAATTTGAAAAATAATATCACAATCACCCTTAAAGATGACATCCAAGTTGAGGCATCTACTTTACTGCCCGCTTGGCCTTTGATACATCTACTAAAATGTAAAAAGAAGAAAGAAGAAAAATGGAAGAAAAAAGAAGAAAATTAAAATAATATTACAGTCACCCTTAAAGATAACATCCAAGTTGAGACACCATCCCAACCGTCCACTTGGCTCAACGTATATCTAATTAAGAGTACTGTGAAGATAAATACTACTAAAGAAAGAAGATGAATAATATTACAGTCACCCCCAAGATAACATCCCAGTCGAGACACCTTCCCATATCGTCCACTGGGCTCCACGTATATCTAATTAAGGGTACTGTTAATGGAAACAAGAATATTTATTTATTTATTTATTAATAAATAAAAGAAGAATATAGAAGAATAAGAAAAAAGAAGAATACAAAAACAAAAATATCACAGAAGAATTTTCATCACTTGTTTCACCATTTATGCCACAAAATAGAAAACAGAAGATTCAAGAGTAAGACAAGAATTCAAGAAAATTATCAATTTTTAATCAAGTATTAATACTACTAAAGAAGATTAATCATAACACAGTCACCCCAAGATAACACCCAAGCTGAGGCACCATCCCCACCGCCCACTTGGCTCTATGTATATCTAATTAAGGGTACTGTCGATACTGGATGAGAAATAAGTTACTCTTAGATGGAGCTACCTGACATGGTGTCATAAGAACAATCCTACTCCCATATAAGCGTAATGCTGATTGACATACAAATGTCCAATGTGGAGACCATAGGATGTGTTTCAGCACTATTCAGAATACTCCATTTATGCCCCCTAAGTGGGACACATAATGAAGAGCACAAGAGAAGCATTCAAGAATAATAATAAATAATACTAAAGAAGATGTATCATAACACAGTCACCCTAAGATAACTTTCAAGTTCAGGCACCATCCCCACCGCCGACTTGACTCTACGTATATCTAATTAAGGGTACTGTTAATGGATACTGGAAGATATATAAATCACTCTTAGATGGAGCTGCCTGACATGGTGTCATAAGAACAATCCTACTCCCATATAAGCGTAATGCTGATCGACATACAAATGTCCAATGTGGAGACCATAGGATTTGTTTCAGCACTGTTCAGAATACTCCATTTATGCCCCCTAAGTAGGACACATAATGAAGAGCACAAGAAAAGCATTCAAGAATATTAAATAATACTAAAGAAGATTAATCATAACACAGTCACCCCAAGATAACTTTCAAGTTGAGGCACCACCCCCACTGCCCACTTGACTCTACGTATATCTAATTAAGGGGACTGATAATTGAAACAAGAAGATTAAATAAGTGAAAGAAAATCATGGAACAAGAGAACAGAAGATAATGGAAACAAGAAAATCACAGAAGAACTTCCACCACTGCTTTCACAAGATACGGTACAGGGCAGATCATCCCATAATAACACTTACAATATTTATTTCCCTTACATTATAATCACAACCTTTTCTTTAACTTCAACTCCAACCCTACTATCTACCCATAATCTAACCTTAAACTAACCCTAAATCAATTCCCACACTACAACCCCTCCAGTTGACTTGATGGGAAATAATACTGCTACTGCCCCATGTGGCCTGGAGCAGAATACAGCAGAATTTCCCTTAAACTTAAATTAAAACTTACTGTAGTAAATACCTAATTATTACAATGCTAGTACACTTCTTTAACCTAATACAACATAAACAAACACCAAATTACAACTTAAATCTATTTAAAACAACTTAAAACACAGAATTAGCAACTTAATTTAAATACCTAGCAAAACAAAAAGAACAAAAGGGTAAATAACAAAGAAGTCTGGAGTTCTGTGTTACCCAGAATACACTGCAAAAGTGGGAGGAGTTTTCACACCTCCAAGGTAACACCTTCCTTGGTTACTTTTACATTATAATCACAATCTTTCCTTTAGTATCAACTCCATGCCTACTATTTTCATCCAAAATCTAACCTTAAACAAACCCTAAATTAATTCCCACACTACAACCCCTCTAATTGACTAGATGGGAAATAATGCTGCAACTGCCCCATGTGGCCTGAAGCAGAATACAGCAGAATTTCCCTTAAACTTAAAATTAAAACTTACTGTAGTAAATACCTAATTATTACATTGCTAGTACACTTCTTTAACCAAATACAACATAAACAAACACCAAATTACAACTTAAAATCTATTTAAAACAAATTAAAACACAGAATTAGCAATTTAATTTAAATACCTAGCAAAACAAAAAGAACAAAAGGGTAAATAACAAAGGAGTCTGGAGTACTGTATTACCCAGAATACATTGCAAAAGTGGGAGGAATTTTCACACCTCCAAGGTAACACCATGACAAGGTTAGACATCCAGATTAGGGACCCCAGACAGCTCAACCCCAGTCAAAGTACATTCATTCGGACTGAAGACCTAAACAGATGACCTGCTGCTGGTAAGTATTCCCTCAAAGCTCCTCTCTTCCTCCTTTTCTTGTAATTCTCTTGCCACACTCTGGGGTTGTGCGGTGTATGGAACACAGAGTGCTGAGCTTTTTAATTTTCTGCTACTCTCTGGAGTTGTGCGGTGTATGGAACACAGAGAGCTAGTCCTTTTTCCTTATCCTGAAGCCACTCAACCCTCTGAGGTGACCGGGAAGGCAACGCTCTGACGTGGCTGGTTCTGGTTACCTCTTGGGAGGAGGACGTCAAGGATGGGATGAGACCCTGCTCACAGGCCCTGCCCGGCTGGACCACAGCTACCTTGCGGTGTTAACAAGTGGTCCATGTTGGTCAGGGGGTAAGTATGCGGCCCCTCGTGTCCCGACTCTAGGGCAGCACTACGAGAGTGGTGGTTCAGGCATCAGAACCTTAAACGTTGCCAAGTCTTCTATGAGGACTAGCCTCACATGCACCACAGTCCATCTTGCACCACACACGTTTTAAACTGTTATTCCCTTTATTTAAAAACCTCTATTGGGCACCTTTCAAATTGTCATCCTCCAGACTACCGTCCCTCAGTCTGACTTAGAGACTGAGCCGTGGACGCACCGGGACCTAGCAACCTTTTTCTTCAAATTAAACGTCCCCCAGTCTGACTTAGAGACTGGGCCTTGGACGCAACGGGACCTAGGAACTTTTATTATCTATTTATACTAATTGTTACAGTACTATAATCTTATGTCTTCAGGACACCTAAAAACCTTTTATTACATCTAAAGAACCTAAAAATCTTATATCTAAAAAATCATTAAAAATATTAACAACTTGGTCTACTAAAAGAAACTATATTATCTCAATTTTAAGAAATCTTTAAACTTTAAATCCTTCTGGTATACTAAAAGAAACTCCTTACAAACCTCTATTACAATTTTAAAATTAAATAAGGTATTGTATCTATTTCTTTAAACAAAGAACCTCAATATACAAGCTGACAGTGTAGAGTAGACTAGGAGGGACACACCCCGAAGATTGATCATCTTTGGGTGGACCTTCCTTGGGGGAGAGTGTCTGGTGATAAGTGGTCGAAACGCTCGTTGATCCCAAGGCGCACTACTGAGGATGTGTCCCAGTGAGTACAGACTTTGCAAGACATCAATCGAAAAAACAAACTCTGTTTTCTCGCGTTTGAGGCTTCGCGGACAGCAATGTCCACGTGCCTTTAAATTCAGACACTAGGGCTAATGAGTGGAGATGTCTGTCATGGTGTCATGAGAGCATTCATACTCCCGTCGGCACTCCTGTAGTTCTTCCTTGCACCCACCACATTCCCTCCTGGGGTCCTGCAAACCCACGGGGGGGATTCAGGTTTAAAAGGTGTGCCTGGTTGACTCTTGAGAGTTTGATGCGGATAACATGTGATGACCTCCAGCACTGTTCAGAGTACTCCACTTATACCCCTAACAAAGTCTCCTTCTGCTTCAGCGGTCGGACTCCACTGGTGCGGACCACATGGAGGTGACTGCAGTAGCAATAGAAGGGGAAAACATCTTGCTCTGTCTCAAACTCATGTAGCTAGTATCAATTTAGAAATTCAATAAAATTATTAAACAAATACCAAAACTTTAAATCTCTGACCGGTTACTCTATACCATCCATCTATAGATACTCTGATCTCTCTAAAAACCATCCTATTTTACTCGCTATTACCTTATCAACTCCTTCGCT